TTGTTTTCAAAGACAATAAATCAAATATCAAATGACTTACATAGAAAAATAAACAATCTCGTGTTGCGCTCTTTTTGCAAAGAATTCAGCACATACAACAAATCTATACAAAATTAAAGTAATATAAAAATCACAATACCTATTTCAAAGAACACTAAAAGTATCAAATTTCGAATAAAAAATAAGTTAATCCTGGTTTTTTGTTTCTTTGATAAAAAAAAAAGTTAATCCAGTTAGTTTTCAGAAATCTTCATTACATCAACGCAATCTATTTTAAACTGCATCGATAAGATTTATTTCTCAATCATATAAACTATGTTTATATGAACCCATTCAACTCTACGTGGAATGACGATAAGCTTTTTACTGTTATTGTTTATTCGAATTAGAACAAGTTTCATGTTATCCAAAATATAACACCAACCTCTAAAATAGAGTTTAGAGGCAAAAATAAAGTATCAATGGAGATGTTCTTAGCATGACATATATTTGAAAGTCCACCATATCTATATGAGACATCTCGGTTTTTTTGCTTCTCTTATTTCTAACTTTATGAAGGTAATGAGAACAGCAGCAACAAATGACATTTTGTTGTGAATAAATAAAAAAGGAAATAAAAGTTGGACAATAATCAAATCAAATAAGTACTAGTGGTTGGTTACTAGTTATAGACACATAGTCTAATAGAGTTGAGCAATAATTCAAGGATCATGCATGCATTTGTCATGATGTCTTTCAACTTACACTTAGTATTTTTTTTTAAAATTGATTTAGAAAAAGAAACGAATGATTAGTTGATCTGGTTGTAATTGTCGGAAGGCACGTAGGGTCCACATAAGTACATCTGAAGTACTGTTTCCGTTTACGGAAATGGTCAGAAAACTCCCATTGAATCAGGAGACCTTGTCGGGTTCCAACGGTCAACTCTTTGACTATTTGAGCTACACCGTGTCGTTTTGGGTTTCTATATGAAAATTGCATGCCGGTCAGATGACTCGGTCTCGTTTTACACAAATCCCATATTCGAACACTATCAAATATATTTCGGGATATGAGCTAATTCAATATTTAAACTCAAATCTTCGATAAAATCAATAATTAAAGTATACTCCCTCCGTTCCATGAAAATTGATATTTTAAGTTTTTTTTTTCTAAAAAAATTGATGTTTTAGAATATTAAATGATATTTTTTGCAAATTTCAAGAAACATTAATTAAAAGTATTTAAATTCTGAATTACTATTGGTTAATAGGTATTGAA